ATATATATATTTATTGATTTCAGAGAGAGGAAAGGAGAGGGAGAGAGAGAGATAAAAACATCAGTGATGAGAGAATCATCGATCGAGCCTGCAACCCGGGCATGTGCCCCGACCGGGAATCGAACCTCAATTGCCTGGATCCTGGGTCGATGCTCAACCACTGAGCCACACCGGCCACACAGGATTTTAAACGGGGCTCCAAATCCAGACGAGAGACTCACCGCCGAGGTCGCACAGGAGCCGGAAGGGTGACAGGTCGAAGGCAGCGAGCACGCTTCTCCCCTGGACGCTCCAGACCTCCTGCAGACCTCTCATGAACAGCAGCCGCTCGCCCTCAGACCTGGGGGGCACAACCACGCTTGTCAACACCACGGAGCGCCCCGTACGGTCACGATCAGCAAGGACACGGGGGGCCCTCTGCGCAGCTAAGAGCTGTGGCCCGCAGCACGCGTCCGGCTCGAACCAGTGACATGGAATCTGGTTGCTGTAAAAATACTTCATTCCGGGTGGTGAGAGCCCAGGGTCAGCCATCAAGCTCTACCCAGTGCGACTATGACTGGTCGCCTTTCCCTAGGAGCCACGAGGGACGACCATGTCCGTCAGAACAGAAATCAGAGGCTTTTTTATTATGATTATTAAATGGTTTTATTGATTTTAGAGAGAGGGAGGGAGAGAGAGAGAAACATCCATGATCAGAGTCAAGGATCAGCCGCCTCTTGCTCGCCCCCTGCTGGGGATCGAGCCTGAAACACGGGCCTGGGCCCTGACCGGGAATCAAACCTGCGACCTCCTGGTTCACCGGTTGACACTCAACCACTGAGCCACGCCGGCCGGGCAGGAGTCAGACGCTTTCTAATCAGGGAAACCAAGGCTGTGTCCCTCACCCCGCGTGGCACGAGGCAAGATTATCTACTTTGCAAGTCGACCGGCGCTGTTTGAATTTTTGTAAGTTTTTTTTCTAGGATTGAAATTTTTTAAATATTTATTTTAATTAAAATATTTCTATATGAATAGAATCGTTATTATTATTTGTCAAAGCTTTTATGTAATTTTAAGTATATTACGTAGGCTTAATTAAGTTTAAAAACTTTTTTTTCTTAATAAGCAGAGAGAATATTCTAGGGTCCATTGGAATAATTTAAAGTTGTTTTTTTTATTAAAAGGTGTTTTAAAATTTAAATATTTTTAATTAAAAGGTGTTTTAAAATTTAAATTTAATTAAAATTTAAATTTAAATATTGGTTAAATATATTTAACCAATAGATAGTATTATATTTTTTGTTTGTAAAATAAAAATATATTTTATGGTAATGCCTTTAAAAGGCATTCGTTAAATTTAAAAATAGTTGTAAGAGTGAATATTTTGTTTAGACGATAAAATTTTAATTTATGTAACTATTTATATAAGTATTTAATTTTTTTAGGCCAATAAAGATTATATTTTACTAAAGATTATATTTTAGTAATGCCATTTGGAGGCAAGGGCTCCAAACGGTGGGGATCCTGGGAGGTGGGCAAGAGACGGTGAGGGCAGGAGGGGCCTCGCAAGGGGGCAGAAGACAAGGAGGGTGGGCGGGTGAGGACCTGGGCGTATCTCTGGGTTTGCGGGTCATGCCCCCCCCTCCGCCTCACAGTTCCTCTCTCCTCTGTGCCCCTCTGGAGCCCACCGTGTGGGTGTGGTCTCCGTGTACGAATAGAGAGTGAGCTCAGGGGAGACAAGAGTCATCCGGCCCCAAATGTCAATATTTCAGGAGTTGAGAAGCTCTGTCCTAGCACGAGAGACTCAGTATCTGTCGGTCTGTCTGTGTGTCTCACTCGATCATCTATTCTCCATCTACCATCAGCCTGTCTACCTACCTCACCTACCTACCATGCAAACACCAAATCTGTGTCCGTGCATATAAAGAAAAGCAAAGGGCCCGGCCGGCGTGGCTCAGTGGTTGAGCATCGGCCCATGAACCCGGAGGTCAGGGTTCGATTCCCGGTCAGGGCACAGGCCCGGGTTGCGGGCTTGACCCCCATACAGGAGGCGGCCGATCCATGACTCTCATCATTGATGTTTCTCTCTCTCTCCCTCGCTCTCTCTTCCTCTTTCTGAAATCAATAAAATATATTTTAAGTAGAAAAAAAAATTGGCCCTTAAAGGAAAGGGCCAATTCTTATCTACTCAGGAAGCTGATCTACACAAATATTAGAACAGCAAAATCTGTTTTTTTTAAATTAGTAATTTAAATTAAATATCAACTTCCAAATCTTTTTACTCTATTGGGACACATTTATTCAGCCCGGTAAAGGGGAACACTTTATAAATGATATGATTGTCTAACCATAGGCTGCGCACCTGAAACAAATCCAAAATAATATTCAATGTAAACTGAAATTGAAAAAAAAATAATTGTAATTAAAAAAAAAAAAAAGTAAAAATAAATAAAATATTAGCGTTACCTGTAGATGGCGGTAAAGAGCTCTTCCGAGGGAACCCCGAACGCCTTCAGATACTGGTTCTTTCCTTCTCTGAAATCAGGGCAGGAAGCCTGTCACCCGGGTTCGGGGACATTCCCTGAACCGCAGTGAATGCACACAGGTGGTCACACAGCCTCCCCTCGGGGGTGGGGAACCTGTTCTCTGCCAAGGGCCGTGTGGGTATTTCTAACATCATTCGAGGGCCGTGCAAAAGGATCGGGTTAACAATTAGCTATGACGACCGACCGCTCCTAGATGGATTGAATTTCGAGCCCTGCCTGTGGTTGCCTTGGGAGGGCCGGACCCGATGATTTCCCTGGTCGTTTAGGGCCTGAGGACCGGACGTGCCCCACCCGGGCCTTAGATCACGGGTGGGACAAGCAGGAAGTGTAAGTAAGTGACCAGCTGATGGAACGCACGCATGCCTTCCATTCCTGGTCAAAAAACACGAATATTCAGAGCTGCGGGGTCCCCTACGAGCAAAGAAGGGGTGAAATTTTGTTGTTAATTCTCACTGGAGGATATTTTTTAACAGAGAGTGGGAGGCGGGGGGGCAGAGAGAGAGAGAGAAACGTCAATGTGAGAGAGAAACATCGAGGGGTCGCCTCCCACACCTGCCCCGACGGGGTGCAGGGAGCGAACCTGCCACCCAGGTACGTGCCCTTGACCTGGAATCGAACCCGCGACCCTGGGGTGCCCGGGGGGCTCCCTTTCTAACCGCTCCAGCTGCGGCGCGGAATAAAATTTTAATGGCAATAGAAAGGCTGTGACGATGACGTGCCCTTTGGGGACGTCACAGCCTCGAACGACTCATGGCCCAGCGTCTGAGGATGGAAAGCTCCTTATAACTGGGGAGACTGCTGATGTGCCTGGAGGACCAGCTAGTTACCTGCGGCAGGTAACTAACTAGTCTACCCCTAGTTCCTCCTCTCCGCCTCCCTGTAGCTCGGTGAAGAATTTCTGGTGCATCCGACGCCACCTGGGAGGGCTCCCTGGTGTCCAGGACAACTGTGTCCCTGTTGCTTGTCCCCTCCTGCCTGTGTCCTGGTCCCTGCACCCCCAACGCCAGCCCCCGTCCTGTCTCAGATACGTAGCCCGGTCTCTCCCTCTCACCGCTGTGCTCTGCGGCTCGTGCCCCTTTAATATCTAATTTTAAATTAAATATCAACTTCGAAATCTTTTGCTCTGTTTGGACACATGTATTCAGCCCGGTAAAGGGAACGCTTTATAAATGATACGATTGTCTAACCCTTGGGCTGCACACCTGAAACAAATGCAAAATCATATTCAATGTAAACTGAAATTGAAAAAAAATAATTGTAATTTTAAAAAAAAAAGTAAAAATAAAATATCATAGCAGATTTATTATATTAAAGTGGCCGCCACAGGTCACCCGCAGGTGATCGAACGCCTGCTCTGAATTTCCAAACGTACAGGTGGCCCCCATTTGGTTCTCCGAGGGCCCTGGCGTGTCGACGCCTCAGCGTCCTGAAGCCACCCCGGGGTGGCCCTGGGATGTCACCCACGCTGTTGACAACACGCACACGCCTACCTCACAGCCTGGGCCAGGTGTGCCCAGCACAGATAGGTGGTCTTGGCCATGTACAGCAGCATGTTGTGCTGGGACCTGGGGCTGGACCTGACCAGGTAGGCGCTGGAGAGCTCTGTGTTTTCATAAAAAGCTGAAAAAGGGAACAGCAGGAAAAAAATAAAACAAGTTAACATTTCAAGACATGGCCATGAGCCGCCGCCGAGACGGACAACNGGGAACAGCAGGAAAAAAATAAAACAAGTTAACATTTCAAGACGTGGCCGTGAGCCGCCGCCGAGACGGACAACGTCGCGATTTCCGTTTGGCCTTTCCCTGCGAGCACGAGATCCCCGCGGCGAGGGGTTTACCCCGAAGGATGGGTGGCTGGTGGACGGGTCCCTACAGTGGGAACGGTGCTTGGCGTGGGATCCCGCCGTGCTCCTGTTCCTGGCGTAGCATTTTGGCTCTTAGGACAGGGGCACGGCCTGTCCGATTCGTGACGAAGGTGCTGTCCTTTAACCACCGGGCAGAAACTTGTCCTGGCTGCTGAATGCCCCCGGGGCTCTCCCATGGACCCCAAAGCAGGGCCCGAGAGCCAGCTGCAATGCCCTCTCCCGCAGAGCATCCGGGCAGCTACCCAGGGCGTCCCCAAAATACACGTGTCCGCACTTTAAGAGCCGATAGCTCAATGGACGTTTCTTTCTTTCCCGCCAGACGAAGCTTTGAACAAAGGAAATGGACCCGAAAGGGCCCCTAGACTTTTTTTTTATGGGGACACGTAAAAGATAAAGTTGACGGGACCAAACCGGCAACCGTCGACGCGCCGAGGGCGCACAGATACCCCGTGAAATGATTCCTGACGTTCGCGATCCCTTTGCTTTGTGGTATCGGAAGGGTCGTCCGTTTGAAAACAGGCCTTGACCCGAAATAAAATGATTCGTTTCCGGAGGTTCTTTTAATTGTTGAAACCAAACCGCGTGCCCATAAACTCCGACTTTACTGTCGTTCAAAGCGTGGGCATAGATTTCTTTTGGGGTGGGGTTAGGGGACGCCCTGTATACCAGTAGGGATGGTCGGCAAAGGTTGTCCCCGGCACGGCCGCTGTGGCTCTCGCTGGCTTGTGCCCTGGCACCTGCTGCATCTGCCAGCCTGGCTATCTGAGAACTGTCACCTCGCAGGTGGCATCTTCCTGCTCAGTTTAACTCGTGCCGATGTTTAAGCAAAAAGCCTACAGGGGGCCCTGGCCATCCATGGTTAGAGCCTCGGCCTTCGGACGGACGGACAGGTCCCGGGTTCAATTCCAAGGCCGGATTGCAGGCTCTATCCCGCCCTGGTCCAGGTGCGTGCGGACGGCAACCAATCCATGTCTCTCTCTCTCCTCCCTTTCTGCTCGCTCTGCAAAAATCAATGAAAAAAAATATCCTTGGGTGACAATTAAAAACAAATTTAAAAGCCCCTGCAGCCGGCCACACTCTCCTGCTTCTTTCTGGACCGACCCAAGCAGTCGTTTCTCGACTTGGCAATTTCACAAAATTGCACAGAATCCGAAAATCGCCCTCGGCGCTCAACCTGGGGTTAACTGGTTTGAGCTTCGCCGAGTTGGGGCAGTTTTTAAAAAGCGGCCTTCCCGTGTTTCCTGGGAGGAAAGCCGCGTCGGCACCCAAATAAAAATGTGAGCTCACCGTGAATGGCCACCTTCGTATTGAATATATTTAGCGTGCTAGAGGATTACTTTCTTGGCATAATTTTTTTTTTATGTACTTTTTAAAAATATGTCTTTATTGATTTTAGAGAGAGGAAGGGAGAGGGAGAGAGAGAGAAACATCAATGATGAGAGAGTCATTGATCGGCTGCCTCCTGCACGCCCCTGATGGGGGATCGAGCCCGAAACCTGGGGCATGTGCCCTGACCGGGAATCGAACCCTGACCTCCCTGTTCATAGGTCGATGCTCAACCGCTGAGCCACGCCTTCCGGGCTGTGGACTGTCCCCGGCTGGCTCTTCCCAGAAAAACGGCGCCGAGGGTGAGCATTTAAAAACGCCTCCTTCGAAACCGACACATACCTCTTCCTCCTCTCGTTTCCGCTTGAAGGAGCTTCAGGGACACGCAGGTGTCCAGCAGCAGCTCTGTCCCCCGGGAGCTGGTGCCCAAACGATCGGCCACTGCGTCCGAGCCCAGGGGCTCCGGGGCCTCGGCGAGAATGTCAAACACTCCCAGCTCGCAGGCGGCAAACAGAACCTCGGGAGAATTGAAAGCAGGGACTGGAGGAGATACGTGTACGCCTGTGTCTGTGGCGGCATCGGTCACAGTCGCCAAGGGGTGGGAGCAACCCAAGTGTCCGATATTATGGAATATTATACAGCCATGAAAAGGAATGACATTCTGATACCTGCTACAACATGGATGGACCTTGAGTATATTAAGTGAGCCAGACACTAAAGGGCAAATCCTGTAGGATTCCACTTATATGAGGTCCCGAGAGTCACAGATTCACAGAGACAGGAAGCAGATGGTGGGTGCCAGGGGCTGGGAGAGGCGATGGGGTGTGAGGGTTAATGGGGACAGAGCTCAGTAGGGACTTGAAGAGTAGATACTGGTTCACCTGTGTTTATTGAAGCATTAATCACAGTAGCCAAGAGCTGGGAGCTCCCCATGTCCGTCGACGGGTGAACAGATAAGCACTACGTGCTCCATCCACACCGTGGAATATTATTCAGCCATGAAAAAGGAAGGGCATTCTGACAGATGCTACAACATGGACGGACCTTGAGGACATTAAGTGACACAAGCCAGGCACTAAAGGGCACATCCTATAGGATTCCACTTATACGAGGTCCCGAGAGTTACAAATTCACAGAGTCAGGAAGAGGAAGGGTGGGCGCCAGGGACTGGGGAAGGGGGATGGGGGGGTGAATGTTTTATGGGGACAGAGCTTCAGTTTGGGACGATGACAAGGTTCTGGAGATGATGGTGGCGATGTTTGCCCAACGATGTGAATGCCACTAAACTATACACCTAAAAGTGGCTAAAATTGTAAATTTTATGTCTATTTTGCCACAATAAAAAGAGGTTTTGCCCTGGCCGGTTTGGTTCAATGGTCAGAGCATTGGCCTGCAGACTGAAGGGTCCCGGGTTCGACTCCAGCCAAGGGCACATACCTGGGCTGCAGGCTCGATCCCTGGCCCCCAGTTGGGACCAGATGTCCAGCGGGGACACCATCTAGTGGAGGAATTGGGCCCCAGGGACAGTGAGGGCCAGGATTTGGTGGGAGCTGCCACCATAGGGGATATTTTTTCCATTGGTTTTGAGAGAGAGCGGGAGGGAGATGTGAGAGAGACACATCGATTGGTGGCCTCCCACGCGCGCCCCAACCAGGGCCAGGGATCGAGTCTGCAACCCAGGTACGTGCCCTTGACCAGGAATCAAACCCGGGACCCTTCAGCCTGCAGGCCGACGCTCTAACCACTGAGCCAAACCGGCCCAGGGCAGGGCCATTCCTTGGTTGGTTCAACCTGTTCTACGGTTGCATTAAATTTTGTTCTATTAAGATTATACCAGCTCTCGTCCTGTTAAATTGGTGACAGCTAATGACACAGTGTCGTGTGTGGCAAAGCGACCTCCCTCCCAGGATTTATAACGCACCCAACACTATAGAGAGCCGGCAGCATTCTAAGACGGGGTCCGCAGAAGGGTCCCCAAGGCAGCCCTCACCCATGAAGCAGTTCCCCC